CAGTTATAAGTTTATTAACTGAATGTACTAAATAATAATTAATTATACAAACTCTAGACTTGAATATTAGTACTTTAAGATTAATTATCTTATCTAAATGCCTCATTTAAATAAATCTTAACATTAACATTAAAATTTAAACAGTTTATAGAAAGAGTGCATAATTCATGGTCTAATTATAGTTAACTTTGTATTTGCTTATAGTTGACTACTGTGCACAATAATTTAAATAGAAATCCAATAACGCCTATACTCTGAAATTCAGAGTCTGAATACAATAAGTTTCATTTTATACAAAAATGTTTTCAACTTTGAAAACTTGATGAAAACAAACCATTGGACACTAAATCATATCAATATTTGCTTACTTGTTAGTTCTCAATAGTATATTTTACATTATACAGTACTGACTATTATATTGGTATGAATCTATAGAAGTATCATTTTTAGTAAATATAATAGGTACAGTGCAAATGCTATGTTCAAAACACGGTATTAATTGAATGCATAGAAAATAAAACTATTGAATTTATCAAATAATGTTCTGTTTATTACCTATTGAATAGTGAATAAATGCAAACATTTTCCATAAACCTTTTATATCCATTTAAATCCAAACAGCAAAGCAAACCAATTAATCAATTATAATGTAATATACTGTATAAATAATGTTCGGGTTTGTAGTCAAAGGCTTATCACACAAAAGCCATGAATAACTTCAATGATCCCATTCAATGACTGAATATGTAAATCCCTTTTAAGTTCAGACGATACTAAATATGAAATTTATTAACTCTTTGACAAAACCTATCTTAAAGGGACGCAAGGAAATCATGAGTCGAGTAAAACAAATCGCCAAAAGAAACCTCGAAGAAGGAGGACTGCTTTCACACAGGTTTTCATCACAATCTCGTCACTTACCGTATAAATCATATGAAAACAAATGAATGTTTTGTGTCATAATTTAGGTTCAATTGAATTATTTGGAGCGAAAGTTTCGTTTACAGAAGTATTTAAGTGTCTCAGACAGAGGACAAGTGGCGCTCACTCTGAACCTCACGGAAACACAGATCAAGACTTGGTATCAGAACAGAAGGTCAGTGCCCGAAGACCACAGACAACCCTATTGTCATCAAATTAACGATAATTGAATGATCCAAATGTCAAAACACAGAACCAAATGGAAGCGACAAAACAATCAACGTTTGGATGAACTGCGGTCTAAAGTGATGGACGGAAGTCAAGAGTCAGACACCAGTCCACTGATGTTCGCGCCGCCGATGTGTCCGCCGCAGTCTCAGCCAACACTGAGCCCACACCCCAACCCATACAACTATTTCAACTTCAATCCAGTGCTGGCTTTGAGCGGAACGGACGCTTTGATGCGAACCGTGTTTACGGTTCCCACACATCGTTTGCATCACAACTGAGTGCTTGGGCTTTGGTTTTGTAGAGAAAAGTATAAAATAACTTTCACTTTAATTGCAAAATACTGTACATTAAGAATAAAAAAGACAAATCAATAATTAATATTTAATTTATAAAATAAAAAACTTATT